TGGAAATTTCTTTCCCCTATAGAATTTAAAACATTGTTTTCATATCTTACTATGCTTTTTTAAAAAAGTGAATAGGTTGGTCACCATTCCTCCCAGGCATTCAATCCTTTCTTGGTTTTTGTGATACTACCCTCTCCTGGTTCACTTTTAATCTGCCTGACCACTCTTTCCTAATTTTTTTTTACTTGCTCATCATCAATATTATTCCTCATAACTGTGGCTATACCCTAATACTCTGTCCTGGTTCCTCTTTTCTTTTTTCTCTATACTCTCTTTGACTTCATTAGCTTCCATGGGTTGGTTCATTTATCATCTTTATGATGATTCTCAGATTTATATATTTTTCCTGAACTCGTCTTAAAACCCCAACTGCCTATTGAACATATCATTTTGGATGTCCTGTAAGCATCTCGAACTCAACAAGTCCAAAAAAGAACTCATTTCCCTCCAAAATTCTTACCTCCACTGAACCTATTTCTGTTAAGAGCATCACCATTCTTCCAGTATCCCAGATTTGTAACCTGAATGTAACACTTGACTCCTCACTCTCACCCCACATTCAGTCTATTACTAAATTTTGACATTTCTGTCTCCACATCCTATCTCCCTATCCAATTCCTTCTTTATATTCACAGTCACCATCTTAGTTTAGGATCTCATTAACTTTCATCTAGGCTAATATAATGGCTTCTTACTTAGTATCCTTGCCTCAAGTCTATCCCCACTCCAATCCATTTATATATAACTGCCAAAATGATTTTCCTTAAGTGTAGATCGGATTATGTCATTCTCCTACTCAGTAAACTCCAGGAACTTCCTATTACTCTTAGTATCAAATGTAAACTCCTCTGCTGGGATTTAAAGCTATTTACAACTTGGCCTTTACTGAACTCTGCAGCATCATTATGTACTCCTTCGCTTCCTGAATTCCATGGTCCAAGCAAATTGGCCTTCTCTCTCACAAATGGTGCCTTTCTCACCTATACCTCATAGAATCCCTCGCTTCCTTCCAGGGAAGCTCAAATATCACTCTCTATGCTGTCATAGCCCTCCCTAGATACTGTTGCAGCATTTCCTTTGTATCCATTCTGTACTTAGATATTTACATGTTGTCTACCTCAACAGAATGTAAACTCATTGAGAAAAGGTATCATTTCACGTATGTGTGTGTGTGTGTGTGTGTGTGTGTGTGTGTATCTCCAAAGAGTGCCTGGTATATATTAATTTTTTTAACAAATGCTTGTTGCTTTGTTTGACCGACCCGAAATGTTATGCATTATAGTGATCTGTAATTTCATTGATTTAAGGAACTTCCTAATCAGGAAGCCACTTTGTGGTGGGCTTCACCTGACTCAAGCTTGTCCTTTGACAGTTTAGATCCAATACTTGAACAAAATGAGACATGTGTAAGTCATTCAACAGTTACAAAAGTCAGTTTACTTAGTCATGGAAGGAGAAAGTATATCCAACAAGGATATGCCCTGAGGATACGGTGGTTGATTTGCCCAGTAACAGATATATCAGCCTAGCATCAGAGTGGGGCTGGAGCTCTTTGTAGTTTTTTTTTCTACTCAGGTGACCAGGGAGTGATATATGTAGCCTGGACCTTTACTCCCTCAAGCCATTTAAGTCTTCCTGACAATTTAAACACCTTTTTAAGGAAAAGAACTAGCTCAGCCCACATGGTGGTGATGGTAGTGATAGGGGCCTTCTGGTAGCTTTTCCTCTTAGCACACTCTTCTAATGCAGGTCAGCAGATTCTTTGTCAGTTATATTCCTAAGAGTTGCCTGGAGCACAGAAAGATTTAGGGACTTGCTCAGTCATACAGTTAAGTATGTACGATGGGCAGACCTTGGCTCCAAGGCCAGCTTTTTATTTTCTATGCCACACTGTTTCAGAGTCATAGAATCTATAGATTTAGAGATGGAAAGGATAAATCATGTCTACCAAAATTTAATTAGCGCAATTTCTCAACACTTCTGTTACAGTAATACTTCCATTTTATAGGATCTCAGCTGGTATTTAGTTTATCACTGCAGCTGTCTATTGTTTGTGCCTCTGATTTATAACATTAAAAAATAGTCTTGGAAGGCAAAGATTTCTCAACAGAGGCTCACAGACATAGCATAGTGGGTGCTTGAGTAACCAGTCTCACAAAACTTGTAAAATGTAAATTGGAAAAATGAATGCAATTAATGAGGCTGTTAGGAATTTACATGCATATAGTGCTTTAAGGTTTTTGATATGCTTTTCTCACAATAACTTGAAGATTATTATCTACCTTTTACATACAAGGACACTGGGGGAAATCTGAAAGGTTAAGTGACTTACCCTTGATCAGCGAATAAGGTGGAATTTGAACTGAGGTCTCATTTGTAAAACCAGAATAACACACGCAGTAGTTACCAAAGTATCTGAAGTACCTTGTTGTAAGAGGCAAATGAGATAACTTATTTAAAAGGACACAAAAATGTCAGTTACCCTCACTATTAGAGTTATGTTCCTTGAATGCCAGATTTTAAACTCTTTTAAGGATAAGTGAAATGCTTTATATTTTTCTTTTACTTCTCCCATTAACTTTGCCTGCATAAGACACAAAGTAGGCACTTCATAAGCAGTCGTTTATTTGCCCTGTCTACTAGCCAGCTTACTGCAATTTAGGAGAAGGTTGTGTGAGCGGGTGAAGCTCAACTGAATGAATGATGAGCCAGCAGTTCAAGGTGACAGAAATAACGAGGGTCGCCGAAGCCACAGCCTGTCTTCAGGCAGGGTTTAATCTACGGACGCGTCCTGACCCTTCCCACCTACCAGTCCCCCTTCTTCAGACAGTCCACAGCCGCCCCTCTTTTCAGCAGATACAGCACGCAGTCCCGGTGCCCCCGGGACGCTGCCTCATGCAGGGGACGCTTGTAGTCCCGGTTAGGGGCCTCGATGTCCAGCTCCCAAGCTTCAACCAGGTAGGCTAGGATGTCCCGATGCCCATGCCGGGCCGCAGAATGTAGGAGGGTGTCACCTCCTCTGCCTGGGCACCGGGTCTTCACCTGCCAGCTACGGCTGTGCTCCGCTCTCCCAAGCTCCTCTTGCAAGGGTCTTAGCTGCCCCTCCTGGACCAGCCTGAAGAGCCGCTCCAGCGGCTGCGCTTCCTCCACGCGCCGATTGTGAGCCATGACCGAACCTGGCTCGGACTCTGGGGCGGCTCGGCAGCCGCACGCGGCGCTAGGACAGGTGGGAGGTGCTAGAGTCCCCGGCGCCCAGCCTGGTCTGAGGCCGCCGCGTTTGCGCGCCTGCGGCTCCCTTAAGGGAGGACCCGCCTCCCGGCCTGCCTGCCTCCTCTGCACGTCCTCTGGCTGAGTCCGGAGAGGATGCAGGCAACGAGCCCAGGCTGGACCTGAGACCCTGCCTTCCCCCCGATATTGCACGACTTTGGCCTAGATCATCGCTCCCTGAAGGTTGCGGGGTTTCATCCCAGGAGAGCTCTGACTCTTCCTACTCATCCCAGGCGCCTCAGTTTCCCGGGATGTGCAAGGTGTCCTTAAAGTCTTAGTGCTGTCAAAGCATAAAATGGCATTAAGGTTTTGAGGACACCTCGCAGGACATGTGTGCGTGTACATCAGTATGAACGGTGTGAATGTTATTGGGAGTGAGCAAGGATGGGACAGAATTCATAGGATCCCAGATCTGGAGCGAGAAGAGGCCTCAAAGGCCTTTTTGGCCGACTTCCTCATTTTATAGGCTAGGCAAATGATGCTGGGGGAGGAGCTAAGAGTGCACACTAGTTAGAATTCTATACATTAACAGTGTATGTGTGTAATGGGTACCATATTTCTTGCCTTCTCAGTGGGTGTGGAAGAGAGCAAAGAGGGTGAAGGGACAGAGAGAATGTGGAACTAGAAATTAAAAAAAAATTCTGTGCGTTTACGCCCAGTAGCTCTTGGATTTTTCTAAGGTCTCCAGAGGAGCTACTACTGATAAAGATGGTAAATACTAAGTACCTCAGTGCATCAAAAGATGCAAGGTTTAAACTTAGGCCTTCCTCATTTCAAGTCTATCATTCTCAATACTAAACTATAATTTAATAAATTCTTTTTGAATGGACCCTGATATCCATCCGTCTGGTACCAATTTTAAACCCTACTTTCCTCCTCTGTGAAATGCAGGTTTTGGATGATGTCTAACCAACCCTCCCACGCTAAAAGTAAGATCTACTCCCTTAGTCCCCAGTGGAGTCAGAAATACCTGGGTTCAAATCCTGCCTCATACATATACTAGCTGAGTGACCCTCCACCCCCACCCACCATTACATTAACCTGTGAGCCCCTAGACACCTAGGGCTTTTTTTTTTGTCTTTGTATTTCCAGAGTTTGGCATGATGCCTGGCTTATAGTAGGTGCTTAATGCCATTTGACTGACCCTGGGCAAGTGACTTCTCTGTACTTCAGTTTCCTCATCTGTAAAAGAAGAGGCTTACACTTCCAGGTCTACACTTAAGATACTACGATTCAGCCTGGCCTAAGACCTTCAAGCAGTTTTCCTCCCTCCACAAAAAAACAAAAACAAAAACAAAACAAAACAAAAAAAAACCCGAGGAAATTCTTTTCTGCCTCTAAGATCAGAGGGAAGAAATAAGAGAAAGACCCAGGACTTATCATTGGGAGGGCAGTGTGCATCGGCCTTTCTATTGGTCGAGACGGCAATCAATTAACTCCATGGCGGGGTGGTTTTTCTGTTTGTTTGGTGTGTATTTTAAGTGTGTTTTGTTTTGTTCTGTACGAGCTGGAGATGAGGGGGTGAGATTTTAGGGAGGAAGTCACAGGAATTCCGAGTCCTACTTTGTAGCGTTTGGGAAGATTGGAAAGAGGCCGGAAGGAGCGGAAGGATCGAAGGGGCGGAAGGGGAGAAGGGGCGGAAGGGGAGAAAGGGCGGAAGGGGAGAAGGGGCGGAAGGGGAGAAGGGCGGAAGGGGAGAAGGAGAGGAGGGGCGGAAGGGGAGAAGGAGAGGAGGGGCGGGGCTGCTGGAGGAGGAGGAGGAGGAGGAGGAGCAGGAGCTGGAGGCTTCTTTGCGGCTGTAGCTGCCACACTCCGAAATGCCCAAGCCCGTGAGAGTGGGTGCTTTGCGGGTGCGGGTGGGATTGGGGCTGGGGTAGGAGGTGGAGGGGGCGGCCAAGCCCACTCCTGTTTGGCAGATTTAGAGCCTCAACGACGACCGCCGGTTTCTGATCCCATGGATGCGTTTGTTTACTATTTACATGGGCTGTGTGACCTTAGGAGAGTCACATTCCCTCCATGGGCCTGTTTCCTTATCTGTAAAATGAGAAGCTTAGATTAGATCTCAGAGAAAAGAAAGCCCCTTTCAGCTCTAACATTCTGTGATTCTATGGAAGACTGGATTTGAGGGAAGAAAAATACAGCTATTTTAGAGAGGGGGAGGGGCGGAGAGGGAAAGGGGGAGGACTGGAGAGTAGAAAAAGGGAAGGGAGAGAGGTGGAGAGGGACATCCCAGGAGGTAATGCCACAAGCATTTCTTAAGCTTTTACAATGTTCTGGACGACGTGCAGAGCTCTGGGAATATGTGATCGAGCTGATGGAAAAATCCCTGCCCTCAGGGAGCTTATGTTCTAACGGAGGAAGACAGCTACCCCCAAGGGAGCTAAAAAGTGGGTGGGAAAGGAGGAGGAGACTCTTGTGGGACTCGACCCGGTGGAAACTGAAGATTGGCAGGCCTAGGCCCTTCCCCAAAATGGAGGCAGCGAGGGGTGGCGTACCAGGCGAGGACTGTGGGGTGAGGAGGCCGCCGGGACTGAGGGAAGCGTAGGATGAGACTAGCTGAGGTGGGCTGGAGGATGCGAAAGAGCAGAAGCACAGCCAGGAGGAGCAGAGTGGGTGAGAAGGCAGAACCCCGCATCTGTTGGAAGGAAACACGGCTGATGTGCCCGAGTAGCTCTGCTTCCCTTTTCTTTGTGGTGGTATCTGATGCCTGTGCTTCTGCTCGCCCTCTTCCAAGGGGTTTCTCAAAGCTGCCCTTTCTCCAGCTCCATTTCTTATTACCTGAGACAGAAGAAAAGACAGATGGGCAGAGAGAGGGAATTCAGGGGGAAGAGGAGGGAAGGAAGGTAGGCTACAGAGGTGGTCAAGGAGGCACCCCACCAATAGTAATTTATTAAAATTAGATATAGAGTGGGTGAAATAAGATTCAGAGAGGCTTGAGTTCAGTTATCCAGTTTCCACATTGTGATTCTGGTTGGATACTTCTTCCATCATCTTAGTTTAAAAAAAAAACCTCCTTTATCTCCTTCCTTTCAAAAACCTTGATTAATTAATTAATTGCCTACTGAATAGAATACAAATGCTTCAGCATGACGTTCAAGCTGATTTGCGGTCTGATTCTAACTTAACCTTTCTAGGGTTTTATTTTCAAGATACTCCCTTTCTGTAGACTGGACTTTTCTTACCACCTCCTGCTGTATCTTTACCCATACTGAACCCCTACTTCCAGGAAAGACCTTTCCTCCTACTCTGCCTGTTAACATCCATTCTTTCCTTCAAGCCCTAGTTCAACTGCCATCTCTTCTGTCACCTCTTACCTTCTCCTCTCTCCTGCCCTCCACGTCATGCCTGGCAACTTGTGGCTCCTGTTGAGCATTTAACTGCATACCAGGCACTGTAATAAGTACTGGGGATACAAAAAAACAGTAAAAACAAATCTCTGTCCTCTAGGAGCTTATATTCTATTTCTCTTGTATTCTTACATTCTAATTATATATATTCTCATATATATAAGATATATATCCTAAATATGTGTTAAAAATTCTATTATATTCGAATTCTCCTATATTCTAATGGGAGAGACGAGTGTGTGACAGCTCTTATTGGTGAGTTCTTCCTCAAACTTCCATTTTGGGGGGGTCAGCCATCCTACTTTCTCCATATTTAGCATCCATGCTCCTTTGGGTACTTCCCTTCCCTCTTTTTAGCATTCCCTTTTATGTATTTCCTCATTAGAATGTAAGTTCCTCAAGGGTTCCCCCAGCATTTGTTAGAGTGCCTGGCATGTGATAGGTGCTTAATAAATGCTTGTTGCCTGTCTGGAAGGAAGGTAATCTTAGAAGGGAAAGAACTAGCAGCCAGGGTGAGAGAAGAGGAAAGGCCTTTTGCAGAAGGTGGCATTTGAACTGAATCTTGAAGGAAGGTATACTAAAAGTTCAAAATGAGGAGGGAGAGCATTCTAGTCATGGGAGACAATGCGAAGGCACAGAGAAAGGAAAAGTTGTGTGTTTCTGGAGCAAAAAAAAAAGTATAGCTAGAATGTAGAATGTATGTAGGGAAGTGATGTGTGAGAAGGCAGGAAGGATAGGAAGGGGCCAGATTGAGAAGATGTTTAAATGCTAAAAGGAGTTTATTATTTAATCTAAAAGTTTTATTGAGGGGTAGGGTGATATAGGCAGCCCTGCACTTTAGGAAAAATCACTTTGGTAGCTGTGTGAAAGGTGGATTAGAATGGGGAGAGAATTGAGGCAGGGAGACAGGTGGTTTTTGCAGTTGTTCAGGGTAGAGGTGGGGAGAACTTGAACTAGGATGGTGGCTGTATAAGTAGGAAATTGGGGACTAAGCCAGGAGGTATTGTGGAGACAGAAGATTTGGCATCTGATTACCTAGATGGCGTGAGGGAGTGAGGGAACCTGGGTGCTGGGAAATTGACAGTATACTCCACAGGAATTGGAAGTTTGTAAGGATGAATTTAGGGGGAGGAGTAAGATAATGAGTTCTTTTTTAGATATGTCGAGTTCAACGTATGCCTATGAAACATCTAGTTCGAAATGTCGAATAGGTGGTTGATAATGCTCAGGAGAGAAGCTGTGACTGGATGAAGTAGACCCAGGAATCATTGCTAGGTGGTAAAGTGGTTATGAGTCCTGGTTTTGGAGTCGGGAAGATCTGAGTTGGAATTGTACACCAGATAGCATAAGTTTTGTGACCCTGAGCAAGTCACTTAGTCTGAGCCTTGGTTTTCTCATCTGTAAAATGAGGATAATAATTACACCAACTTTATAGGGTGGTTGTGAGGATCACATGAAATAGCATGTACAAATCTTAAAGTGCTATATAAATGCTAGCTATTATCTGTATAGAGGTAAAAATTGAAGAATTGATGTGGGTGTAATGAAAGAGTACTGAGCTAAGAGACCTAGGCTTTACCAGCAGCCAACTGTGTCATTGTGGTAGTATTATTTCTCTGTTAGACTTTATGTGTAGAAAAGGGGAAAATTATAACCTGCTCAGGTTTATGAGGAACAAATAAGACAGTACATGTGGAAATAAATAGGTTATTACTGTTATTGCCATTTTAAAGAGCCACTGTAAAGTAAGTAATCATAGGGGCTTTGTGGATGGGACTTTTGAGATCATCTAATCTAGATAGCTGATAGACTGAAGTCAGGAAGACTTCAAATCTGATCTCAGACATTAGCTGTGTGACCCTGGGTAAGTCACTGAACCCTGTTAGCTTCAGTTCCTCATCTGTAAAATGAGCTGGAGAAGGAAATGACAAACCATTCCAGTATCTTTGCCAAGAAAACCCCAAATAGGGCCATGGAGATCCAGAAACTACTGAACAACAGCAATCTAATCTTCTCATTTTGTAGACAGAGAAACTCAGAGGGGAAATGATTTGGCTAAAATGGTAGTTAGTGGCCGAGTTGGGACTACATATTCCCAGTCAATCTTCCATTATGCCACAGAGCTTCCATAAATATAGTTTTTTAACAGTCTCCATCCCCACGTGACTTGTGTTGTTTCTCTATAATGTTTAGAAGCCCCATCCTTTGATGTCTGGTCTGGGCCTGGCTCTCCTTGAGCAGTAGTTCCTTGTGCTTCAGAGTCAAGCCTCCTGAAGCCCCCATCCCTTCCTCCTCCATCCAAGTTTGTTGACTTGTGTATACATCTTCCACAATAAACTTTTCTGCTTTCTAGGACAACTGGATAATCTGTTAAATTAATTTATGCAAATGTGTTAATTCATGTCAATTTAATAAATATTTATTGAGCATCAGCTATGAATAAGTCACTCTTCTCAGCACTAGGAGAGATGCAAAGATGAATAAAACTTCAGAATGTGAATTTGTATTATTGCTAGCGGTAACATTGGGATAAGGAATTAAGTACTGGATTTGTGATTTCATTAATATAAGGAATTCCCAGATGAGGAAACATCACCTACCAATACATTCGCTGCAGCTTAGAGTCTTAGAGAATTGCCCAGAGTACCAAAAGGGTAAATGACTTACCTAAAGTTATGTGGCCAGTGTGTGTCGGAGGTGGGACTTGAGTGGCGGCCTTCTTGGTTTTGAGACTAGCTTCTGATCCACTATTTCGTGTTCACCACTACACATAAAACAACATGGTGAAACTCTGAATGAAGAGGCATGAAAATCTGAGTTCTAGACCTAGATCTGATACTTACTGGCCAGGTGACATCGTTATGTCACTTAATTGCTTTGGGACACATTTTTCTTATATAAATAAAAGGATTTAAAAGGGTTTTAAACTGATACCTTAAAGTCCGTTCCAATTTTGACATTTTATAATTTTGTAATTCTGTAACAGGTCATGCCTTCAAGCTGTTTATAATCTGTTTCAAAAAAAGAAGAAGTATACAAATAACTAATGGAAGGTAGAATTTGAAAGTTCAGTGAAAAGTACAGAGTGATTTGGAAATTTATAAGAGGGAGAGATTGCTTTTTGCTTACGGGTTCAGGGAAGGGTTCATGTTAGAAGTCACATTTGAGTTGGGTCTTAAAAGTTAGGCTAGGAATTTGAAAGCCGAAATCGAAGTGGTTTTTTTGGTTGTTTTTTGTTTTACATTTTTTGAGGGGCATGAGTGGGGAGGAAGACATACCATTCTAGGGAACAGGATGATCAAAGGCAGGAAAGCATAGGGTATGGTCAAGGATCAGTAAATTGTGTACAGGATTCATGAAGGAATTTTAAACCTTCTCTCAAAGGTATATTTTTTTCTTAAAAATTTTTTTTTCTCAATTACGTGTTAGAATAATTTTTTACATTTGATTTTTAAAATTTTGACTCCCAAATTCTCTCACCCTCCCAC